TCATTGAGCCTTGCTCTGGCATCCCAGCTTCAAGTGTCCAAGTGTCCTCTGCCCTTCTGCAGCTGCTGCCTGGATCAGAGAGACCCATCACCCCCATCCCTTCTGCCAGGGATCTCCTTGGGATGGAGAGCTGATGCCTGACCCCAGTTCCAACCCCTCTGGTCTGCCTGAGGAAAGGGAGACAAGCAACCCTGTCTCCTTCAGCTGGGCTGGCTGTCCTTGGTCTCAGCAGTGCTGAGCTCAGACCGTGCTTCCAGGCTGGGAAGTTCATTATGGCGTGTCTGGGGCTGCTCTGATTCGATTCCCTGAGCAGGCTCAATGCAGCCCTGCAGCTGCAAGGTTCATTACTCCATCCCCACGCTGCCAGCGCGGCCAGTCCTGCTCGCTGCCTCTGACTGCTCAGGTGATGAGCTCTGTTATTTTCTCTAGTGTCACAAAGTCCAGGAGTGCAGAGTGTGCTTGTAACTTGCTCTTCTTATGCTTAAGTGGTAGAACTGAGATGTTTGCAGCAATTTCAGGACAGGAAAAAGATTTGTCTTTGCTTTTTAATCACAGTAATAACGGTAGTGGAGGCAGTGAGTGGAATTGATGGGAAAGAGCTGAGCTCTGTTCTGTGGTAACTCCCATGTGGGGTAAACAAGGAGGATTTACTGGCTTCTCAAGTGAATTTGTAGTATCTGCGCTTTTCAGCAATGACTTTTGGCAGTGTCTGGGGAAAAATAGCTGGTATCTAGTACTTGGCAGGAGAAATAGTCTAGGCATCCTCTGGAAAGCTCCCTGCCTTAGTGTATCCAGGGTAAATGAATAAACCTTCCCTGCCTCTGTTCTTATCCCCACAGATTCATAGGTACAGCTGCTCTTTTAAGCAGCTGTCAGGGGTACCTCTATGTGTGTCTGGAGTTGAACCTGCATATTTGGTAGCCCGCAAGGGATTTATTCTCCCCTTCAGAGACAAGAGAAGACATGATATAGGCAAGAAATTGGAGCCACACAGAAGGGTTCTAGTGGGTGGAGAGTCCCAGTGGTGCCCAGGACCAACCTCCCGAGCAGACCCGGGTTTCAGGCTGGGGCAAACCAGCGCCTCAGCTCAGCCGGTCTCCTCGCAGCCTGGTCTATCCCAGACTGATTCTGGCCTGCGCATATGTGAGCAAGAGCTTTCCTCCGGTGGGAACTGGTGAGGTTTAACTCTGACAGGGCAGAGGCACTGAACTCGGGAACAACCACAGACTGATGTGATAGCTTTCTACGATGGCATGACCAGCTGGGTAGATGAGGGGAGAGCTGTGGATGTTGTCTACCTCGACTTCAGCAAGGCTTTCCACACTGTCTCCCATAACAAACTCCTAGGGAAGCTCAGGAAGTGTGGGCTGCATGAGTGGTTAGTGAGATGGATTGAGAACTGGCTGAATGACAGATCTCAGAGGGTTGTCATCAGTGGCGCAGTCTAGTTGGAGGCCTGTAACTAGTGGTGTCCCCCAGGGGTCAGTACTCGGCCCAGTCTTGTTTAACTTACTCATCAATGACCTGGTGAAGAGTTAGAATGTATCCTCAGCAAGTTTGCTGATGACACAAAACTGGGAGGAGTGGTGGATACACCAGCAGGCTGTGCTGCCAGTCAGCGAGACCTGGACAGGCTGGAGAGTTGGGCAGAGAGGAACCTGATGAGGTTCAACAAGGGCAAGTGCAGGGTCCTGCACCTG